CAATCGAAAAATATTTGATATGAAAATAATAAGGTTTCAAAACTCACATTTGCATTCTCAGTTGCTTTTACCTAGGAATGTACTTCTCACACAGAGAAGTCTAGACCTCTGTGGTTGTTTCTTTTAAATGTAATCATGGAAATGATCTCTAAAAACAGAGATAGATGAACGCCATACAGGGCAATCTGCATTAGCATTGTCTCCCTGACTGAAAGGTGTTGTAAGGGCAACAAACCCCAACTCGTAACATTGAATAGCTACTGACTGATTAGGAGATAACACAATTTTCTGACAGCAAAAATTCACTTAACCCTGGAATGAGTGTGAAAGGATGTATCCAAGACCAGAACAGTCCCATGTGAATTACACTTAAGATTTGGGGAAATTATTTGATAGCACGTGGGTTCTGTTAGGTCCAGAGAAGGTGGCATTTACTTTATTAATTCATTCCCCTCTGTTTTCTACATGTTTTCTGTAAAACACTGATATAAACCAGGTATTTCAAACTCCATGTAAGGTGTAGTTCTACATGGTAATATTTTCTAGTGATCAGGGTTATGAGGTTAATACCAGAAACAGCAAAATTCTTCAAAGATGAGCAACGGAAACACACAGAATGTGGTCAAAATGGCAATACGAATGTTCTCTTACCATCTCTCATATTTCTTCATGGCAGCCTTGAGAATCAGGAGGGATGCAATGGTAAGTAAGTATAAGATGGACAACTGATCTATCTCGACTGGATTAATTTCAGTCACACACTCCGGTAGTTATCTTTGTCCTTCCAGCTACATCAGCCTTTTCCTTTCCAACTATAGCCTTTAGACATGAAATATACCCTCCCAAACTCCAAATCCAAAACACTCAGTCCCATTAAAGGTTTCCCCTTTTCTTCTATTAAGAACAAAGAACACATTACATTTTTCTATGTGAAGTATGCTATTAAATAATAGCTTGTACACTAATTAAGGCAAATGTAATTGTGAGAACACACTGACATTGTTAAAGTAAATTACCCAATTCGTTAATAGTTTCATTTCAAGTGACCTTAATTGTATTAATTGTGATATTGAGCAAATTAAATTGAAGAGTATTAAATGCATTGTTCCAGTCTGTCCTTAGAGGATCAACTTTCTCATTACATCAATGAAATGGGAATACTACCTACTATGCTCTTCAAAACTTGTGTCAGAATGTGGTGAATGCTATAACTTAGACTAAAAATTTACAGCAGCTCAGAAACAGTTAACCTAGTTATCCCGTTTCAATGTAATATAAACTTCAAGCATTTGGAAATGAACAAAATAGTTTGTCAGATGCAATACACAGTGAGAAGGTAGAAGAGCAAAGTTTCTGAAATGTCTCTTCATATACTCAGGGTTTATAAAGTTTCTGCTGGAGACAAAAAAGATAAGATTCATCAGTTTCTCTGATAAAGATCCCCATTTCAGAGGGAACAATTCAAAAATATTGTTAGAATAAAATGAACAATATCATGAAGATCTTTAGAACAGAAAATGTAGCAAGATACCATCAACTTACTACAGTCAAAAGAAAACACAACAATGCACATATACATACATACATGTAAATTAAAATACAACCAGATCTAAAAGGTATAATCCAAAATTAAAATTTTTTAAAAGTAGTAAAATCTTCCATTTGAAGTATCAGATTGCAAAAGTGAGAATCACTGCCACAAATTTCTTACCAACTATTAAAAATGCTATTTAAAAAAGCAAATATGAGTGCATATATGCAATGCACATTTTTCTATTTTGAAAAAAAAATCAGACACAAGGAAAATAACATAGGCCAAATCAACCATCAGAAAAAGACTGAAATATTACCTTATCTGGCTTTTTTTGGAATATTTTAAAGGGATAGAAAAAAGATCTTGACTGTCAATTAGTTAACAGCCTATCCTGAATTTTGTAAACTTGCAAACAAGCACATTCTTATGAGTCATCGTAACTCAAGATTCAAAGTTCCTCAGTTACACAAAATTTGGAGTGCTATGAACGCCCAGATCTTTCTCCAAATGACACTTACCTCATCTGTTATGCTCTATTTTTATTTGTTCAGCTAGGTAATTGTCTTCTGCCTAGCATTTGCAACATTAAACCTCGCAGCTGTTCCTAGTGAACCATGTCTTATTCTTCTCAGGCCACTTCTCCAAACTCTCAAGAATATTTTGAATTGTATGTCTGCCCTCCATTGTGCTAACAACTCTGTCCCAAATAAACCATGTTTTCTCCCTATACTTTCACTGAGATTTTAATAAAAGCACTGAGTACTACTAGACTTAATCAACATATTTCTGGAATCCCATCCAATATATCCTTCCAAGCTGACAGCAAATGAACAAAAAGTAGTCTATGCATGCAATTTTTCAACCAGCTATACTTAACAGCAATCCACGTATTTCTGAAATTTCTTTCATTTTATGGAAATGCCTTATGAGAGAATTTCAAAACTCCAGCTGGACATGACATCTCCTGGTTCTCCATCAAGTTTTGGTATCAGTTGCACATACTAAAAATACAGTACTTCATGTAGATTAACAAATCTGACTAGTTCTAGGATTAAATATTTATTTTCAGCATCCTTATCAGTCACTTTATTTTTATTACCTCATCTCAGTGAAGACTTTATCACTTTGCCTCCAAGGTAATTCCTTAAGTATTCAGCACAGCTTCAAAAACAATTCAGATGTCCTGATATTCCCCAATATTGTATAGAACACCTCCGACTGATGGGCCACCTCTCTTGCAAATTTCTATAATACATGATACAGAAGACTTGAAGATACAGATTTTTACCAAGTGATTCTGTATCATGCCTGAAACTTGAGGCCGAGTTGAAAAACCTTGCCTTGAAATACTTCTGTAAAGACAATGATGGACAGACTGCATGGACGGGAATGACTGTATACTTTGATGCCCAAAAACCTAACACCATCTAAGCATATGCTTTTTAAAAAATGAAATATTAAAACTTCAAAGACTTATTTTGGATATATAAAGTTTCAACTTAAAATGCAGTATGTGTTTCACAGTAAAAAAACCTATGAAGATGAAATGGATGCTTTATATAAAATATTTACATAGATAGAACATAAAAAATGTACCATAGTTGGTAACCTTTATGACTCGGGGAACCATGTATTTACATATCTTTATCTTCGCATGTGCGTATGTGTGTGTTGTGTATATATTTTTAACAGTTGACAGCTGTTTTAGAGCATACAGAGATGCCAAGCTGAATGAGGGTCTTGATTACTTCAAGATTAGCTATCTAAAGTTTCTATTCATTTTAAGTGTTGTTAGTGCGAAGAGTCATTAGTCACTTCCTTGTCTCATAGAACATCAGCATACATTTACATTGTTAATGAACATTTGGGGTAAATGAATTAATGGCACTTTTAAACATCAATTCAATACTAATAACTTTGTATGTCATAGAAATGTTAAGGTTGGGATAAAAATGAGAAACCTTTTCAGTCAAGGTAACTAATCGCTTCTGGGCACAATAAAGGCTAAAATTAATTTACAGTGTTCTTTTTTAACAGGGTAAAAATCTTGTTTTTTCTTGAAACAGAGTTGAGACAATTACCAGTATTTTTTTAAAGAAAAAAATCAGAAGAAAATGCTTATCTTTTTCTTGATTGGGGAAGACTACAAGCAAACTGTATTTCCTCTGGAAAACGGTTATTATTTTAGGTTATTGAAAAAGATTATTTTCAAGTTTCTAAAAATATGTAAAAAAATGCATTTCGTTTTTCACACTAAAATGGCTCCATATTGTTAAGATGTCAAATATAATAGAGGAGGAACACTGACCTAGAAAATCTATTTCATTTAATCGTCAGGTTTTAAAATACTTCCCCCTAGATGTTCATTCTCATTTTCGAACATTGAAAAAGCTTTATAAACCAATGAAGAAAAAATGAAAAAAAATTAGCTCAAAGGGACAATGAAGTTTTACTAATATATTTTAAAGCAAAAACGTCAGCTTCTTATAAACTGAAGTAATAAACCTGACTAAGCAAAACTTGACATAGCTTTTTTAATAAGCACTAATAAACAGAAGATTTATAGACAGATACACCCACACAGAGTAGTTGATCTGGGTGAGGGGCTTAGGAAATGTGACAAAGTTGTTTCAACTCTGTAATTTAAAATAAATTTTTTATTTTGCCCTCCTGGTACATGTGTTCATTGACTGGAAAATTACAGGTAGTTAAGGTGCCACTGTGTATAACTGAGTACTTGAGGAATGTTTTCATGACAAGGACGAGCTTTCTCGTTAAGCTTATCACTTTCTTCGAACCAACTACACTGTCACTACTAGCAAATAAGTAGAAAAGACAAGCAACACAGACATGCATTGCATTATGCAAGCAGTTTGTTCTCACTGTTCATTAGAGTCTTCCAAATACTGCATTTAATTAATTTACTTCAGGTTACATTGTAATGTCTACCTTTAGAGCCTGTTCATTCTACCTCAACTTCCAGGTTTTTTTTCAAATAAGAATATAGGTGCTGAGTCAAAAAAAAAGGAAAATCAGCCTTTTTATTTGCATAATCTCATCCAAAACAACATACTGAACTTTACTGCAGAATTTAAAAAAAAAAAAGGAAAACAGAAAAAAACCCTAAAACCAAAGCAGTGTAAAAGCCCATGCTTGAGAAAGTAACACAAAGCCATGCTGCACTTCAATATTCTTATGCTGAAGTCAGTGTTTGGTTTATGATTAAAAAAGGATGACAGCGCATTAAACATTTGGCTAATGTTTCTGTCTGTAATTGAAAGTTGACTTTTCATGGTTTTCATTAGTGTCAGTGTGTTCTACACATACTCTGTGAAATGTTCTTTAAGTTGCCCTGTTCAACTTCATTGAGAGAATTAAACAAATTATGACACTTACAGTTATCGTGACACACTTATATAAGGTTTCTAGGTATAAAGTCAAAAAAGTACAGAAATACAAAACTCACCTTCCCCTGGCTTGTTCAAATAACTCTGCAAGGGATCGATGCCTATTTCTTGTTCCTCTGTTTGCAAAGGGTGACTGGTTTCAGACACAGAATGATACATATTGGCAACAGTAAATTCCAACTGAAGGGTATTTATCTGGAGGAAAAAAACAGAGCAACAAACACTTCAGTGTTTCTTTAGCTATTTTTCAATCACACAAGTCAACAGCAAAAACGCTTAAAACCTTTCCTTATTTTCCAGGTGTAACATTACCATTAGATGTCTAATAGCAGAACAACAGTGTTTCCATTCAAATGTTTTATTATTTGGAGTCCAAAAGAATTGTTATAGTACCTCCAACTATCATACTGCAAGTAAAAGTCTAAATGTGGTTTCGACAGACTGTAAAGTGGGGCAGGAGCCTCCTTCCTTCCTTTTTCTAGCTTCCCCAACTCATCTTTTAGTCTGATTCCAGGGAGAACTGATGCTAGTCCTTGGGGATGATGAAGATTATAGGGCAAAGCTGAGGTGAGACCCATCATCAACACTCTTCTGGACTCAGGACCTCTTATCCTAGAAAAACCTCCTTTTAATCACTTCTTTTTCAGAAATCATAGGTCAAGTATAAGATAACAGAGAGGGACGCAAACACATGCAAAAAGAGAGAATGAGAGAATACTGACTGGTATGATGGCTGATTTCGGTGTTATCAAGGTTTATATTAGCTTTCTAGAAAGACGGGTGTTAAGGAAGCACTTGAAGAAACATAATCAGCTAGCTAGTGAATATTTACAAAGAAGTTCTTCCAAAAATGAAGGGCAAGAGCACGAAACCGGAAACCCAGGAAGTAGGCGACGCGGGTTCATCATCACAGGCTGCTGAATGGCATTCACATCACTACCACGTAAGTGAACAAGAACTATGTTAGACGTTCACGTAAGGAGTGTTGGAAGCTAATATTAGCTGCAACAAATAGGAGGATGCCAATAAAAGGGTGAAAAGCAGGCGGTGCTACGGTCAGAGCAGTAAGAAGGAAAAACGACCTTTCCAGTGCATTAACAGCGCAAGAGTACATTTGTCAAGACTGCATTTTGGTCACCGTACAGCAATTTATTAACTTGCAACACAAAAGAACTATGCCAGCCAAATAGGTTTGATTTGCCCAAGCACACTAAGTAGCCACCTACAACTGCCAGCTGAATTTTAAATATCACTTACTGTAACTGCTTAGTTTACAAGTACCATAACTTTCTAACTCCAAGAAAACTATATTTAAAAAGAAATACACGACGACAAACACAAAGAGGTATGCACCTACACTTTCAGGATTGGTATATAATTGATTTGAAAATCGCTTCAATTACACTTTTCCTTTGGTTCTTACACGGCATGGCATTGACCATATACGGTCTAGACCTTCGGTTTACTGTTAATAAATGAAGGGGGACTGGGATTCTTAAGACCTTTCTAGTCACACTATTCATTTGTTTCATTATCCTACTAAGTTATGTGAAAAAAAAAAAGCTAAATAATAAGCTAGTTAGGCCACTGTTAGGCATTTCCTTCAAACCAATGCACCCAGACTGCTTCCAAAAGGATGTTCTCTCCACCGTATTTCCTGAGGCTTTTGTCCTTTATTTGCCCTGGCACCTGTGTTCGTGTGGTGCTGAAACGATTGCACCATCATCTCTCACTACTTTTTAGCTAGAAGAGAACATCTGAAGCTCTTGGGAACAAGGAGCCAGGAACTGAGGGAAGGTAGGACTGCCTGCTTTTGCAGTGGTACACTGTGGTGTACCTTTACGTCAAATTATTATAATCATACAATCATATGATAAACCACACCACTAAAACACAGAATTGTCTTGAACAACTCTTTGTACTACTCAACAAAACGTATTATGAATGTAAGTACACATCATGTGTTTCCTATGTAATTTATAAACCATAATCATGAAAAATGCATGAATGGTAACTTGGAGGAAAACATTTATAAACTTGCTAGCCACTTAAATAACATTTCAATGTTTACCTGCAGTCTTAGGGCTACATAATATAGAGAGATGTTTATAACCACCTGATATCTTAAATAAATAAATGAAAAACTTGAAAGAATTTACTTTAAAAAAAAAAACAAAAAAAACACCACACAAAAAACAACTCTGCAAAAAGAGATAATTTTCTCCTGCTGGACTTTTAGTTGCTGCTCTTGTTCCCTTTTCTATATCATTGTATTTACTTTTCTACTGATCTGTTGATTTTGTCTTCACAAAAATTACAAGCTTATTTCAACTGTGCTACCAGAGTTTAACTTTTTATTTTTACGGTCCTTCAGACTTTGCTACCCGATCTGACCAAGGCACAACCCCGAGTGCCTTTCAAACTGAGAAACAGGCACAAAATGACCTTACCAGCCTTTGTAGTTTTAGCAGCCACCACTTAGGTAAGACACTATATGCTTCAGACTTACATTGTCTTACATCCGTAACATGGTATGAAATTAGCTCTAGTAAGCTTGTTCTTCTATATCCTTCTGCACCGTATCTCTTTTTTTAAATACTCCCCAAATGCCATGCCTTTACAACATATAAGAGCCATAATTTACTTTACAGACAGTTAGAGCAGTTTTAAACAGCTGAATAGATTTACTTTTGATACTTGCACAGTGATTTAATCAGTTACTTGTGTTTGTTTATGGATACATTTGATTAGTGTTAAAAAAAATATCACTACCTATTAGTCTTGTCACTCCTTAGTCCAAGCAATTTTCTTTACAGTTTTATACTTAACTTCTTTTCAGCTCTTCTAACAAAGAGCAAAGAGAACTATTAAACAATTATGATTACACTTGGGATCTTACTCTGAGACAGATTAATTCTTTACAGGTTTGTGGTTGATTTGTAATGGCCTATAACATATTGTTCATATTAAATAAGATGCAATTTTAAAAAATTCTCAATGTGAAACAATAAAAATGTTGTAAAAAAATCTGAAATTCAATTATTAGATTACAAGACTTGATACTGGCTATCTAGTTAAACCCTAACATCTCAGTCAAAGCTAAAAGTGATTCTTTTATCCATTCCTACTTTTTTTTTCCTCCAAAGATGAAGGGCCTAAAAATCAGAAGACCAGGCACCCTTCCCAGCACCGGGAGTTCAACTATTCTTTAATATACATGAAAAAATAATTAAGGCTGCATATGAAACATTTATCTAGTTAGTGGAATGAAAAGAGACACTAATCCACCCACGACCCCAAGGAAAAGACAGGCAGCTAAACTCCTCCTCTGGCTACTCTCGTTAGGTGCGCGGGCAGGGGGAGTCCCCGCGCGCCGTCGGAAAGCGCTGCTGTGGCACGGCGCGGCGCAGGGCTCCGCTGCTCTGCCATCCTCCACCCAGGACAGCACCACGGGTCTGCTCCTCGACGACCAGCGCGTGTGGAGTGAACCCAGTCTGCATTCCAGCAACAGTGAAGGCAGCTTGTTAGTTCACCTGCGACCTGTCAGCCCAGGTTCTCAATGGAGGCCACCAAAAATCCCTTGGAAGACAGGCTCCACACAGAACTCCACTGGATATTAAAAGGACTCTGCAGAGACACTTCCTTATAGCACATCATCCTCTCTCCCCATGACCTCCTTCATATTCCATAGGTGATAAAATACCAACCTGTTTCCATTAGGAAAAACTTAACTGCTGTTTTTTAACATCTACCTTACTAACAACCTCTTTCTACACAGCAGGGGTCAAGTACTTGGTGTATTAGATAGTCTGATTTAACATACCCATTCTAACTCAGAGAACTTTTCTTGTTCTCAGTGAGTACTTAGCTTTGAAGTCTGCTGCTTCTTTTTTAGACAGGAGGAGGTTTGTGCACCTGAGAGTTCACTAATTTTTTGCCTTCCATATTAGCTGCTCTAACACATGGTATTATTTCTACCACCTCTTGCCATAAATTAGTCTTTCTTACACAGTCATGCCTTCATCAGCATTGCCATTCTTCCTGCATATAAACCTATGAGTTTGGAACGCTTAAAAATACAACTTTTAAAACATTCAAAATGAAAACCACTTCTTCACCAGACTGCCAGTGGCAACGGCCTTAACTCAGCCATACTTCACCTGCCATTAATATGCGTAAGTCATCCTTACCTAGATAGAAATACAAGACAAAGATAAAAGTCTAAGTGAGATATGCTTCTATCATTAGCTGAACTGCCAATGAAGCACTGGTCACGTCTGGACTGGAGTTGGGCAAAACACGGCAAAAACATGTATTACACACACATAAAAGTATACCACTATAACCAGAACTGTACAAAACAGCAGAGTCATCTGTAATAAGATTATAATAAATGTTCATACAATAAACTGATTATAATGACTGTTCAGTTAGAAGATGAAAAGCTCAAAATAAAAACAAACTTTATAGAGTTCTTTTAGCAGTGAGACTATTCACTACCACGAGAGCAAGTGGCAAGACTACCCTAATCTCAAAAATTTTGATAAATTTAAAATCAGTATTTCATAAACAAAACATAGCACAGTTGAACATGAATACTGTACCTTATTTCAAGTCATAAGACATTCATTTACCTCTTCACTTGCAACAAAGGAGCAGCTTATGGATAACAAGCATTGTTTCAAAAATAGTTACTAAATTATTTCAATTAAAAAAACCCTAAAAACACCTCATCTAAAATGTTTCCCCTAATTATCAGTGTTTATATAGACTTTGTAAAATTACTTATTCAAACTACAAACCACACCAACACATACCAAAATTAGTATTTAAGATGTGAAGAGTATTCATATTGTTTTGTGCAAAATTAGAAAATATAATCAGTATCACAAAGGATATTTTGGAGGTGTAACGGAGTTGGTGCAAAAGAATTAGGCGATTCTGAGCTTTTACAACACCCATTTCCCCTCTCTTCCCGCCCCAGTGGTGAAATGAAAGGAGTGGAATTGCAGGCTTGAGGAGGTACTTCGGACCGGGACAGAAGAGTTGCACAAATTGCAGCACTTTCCCCACTCTTGCTCCCTGACACCATCTTAGCCCCAAACGATCAAGCAAATAAAAAAAAAAAAAAAGTTTTTATACATAAAGGAAAAAGGGAACCTACTAACATGGAGGAAGAGGCTGAACAA